GAAAGGTAAGAGGGTATCCCATACGACCAAACAAACTCACTTTACAATCCTTCACTCCCCTCATTTTCTCCCCCAACTCAGTATCATCACTAATAACCTGGTATACTTTCTCCAAGCCCGGATACGAGTATCCTCTATGGACACTTGGACCGGGTGGATGCGGCGCTTGCATTTTTGCCTCGTGTGGAAGATCGAAAAGCTGTTTCGTCATTACGAAAGCTTCTTCGAGTAATGAAGAGGGCACATCATGGTTTATGATGTATACAAAACCGAAATGACGACAAGCATTGACGAGGGCTTTCGCAGTCTCGAGACGGGATGTTGAAGATGTGGGATATAGGAAGGGAGCAAAGTCGATAATGGGAATTGCAGAGGTGGGATTAGACGTCATGTTGAGGAGTTGTTTAAATAGCTTTGAATATTAAAGTAGGTTCAAATACTGAAATTATTTTTAGACAGCAGAAACAACAAATTTGGTGATACTATTCTCAAATTTTCAACCACTGCAGTCCGGAATATTGGAAACACTGTCAACAAGAACTATCTTATGAGGAGTGAAATGGAATCGTAAATAGCGGTTGGAATAGTTGAGATGTAATATTCAGTGAAGGAGGTGATAAATCGTAACGGAGTCCACAGTATAGTCTATTCTATCTTTCGAAACAAGATTTGGATTATGGCACCAGCTTCGCAATACTGATATGCAGAGTGAGCGACTAACTACACAGTATTACCGCACCAGCATATCCTGAAAGCCATCAGCTTGTTGGGCCAATATACATCGACCATTCTTTGATCTCCCTTGAATAGAATTGGACAATATGTGAAAGGCTGACAAATACAAACAATCGTCCTACCTATATTAGAATGTATCTCGTCGCTCTGCTGAGAATAAATGAGGGGTTGGGTCTGGGGTCGTACATTGTTGATGCGAGCGTGCATATGTTTATTAGTCAGCACTGTGAAACCCTCGGCATATGCCTGTCATTATGAACTAAATTTATTGTCTTGAAGCAGTTTTCATTGGTCAAGTTTCGAGGTTGAAGGATGGTACATGAAAATTACTGATTTGGATATGGGTTGAGTAATATGTACACATGCCTTCGATGTCTCTTCTTTGAACTCTAAAAACACCCCTTTCTAAAGTATTCCCAACAAGAAAATGCTTCTAGATCGATATCAGTGCTATCATTTACCTCGCCTTCAATGAAGCGTTCCTGCAATAATCTATCACTGGACACTACAAATAATTTGAGTTACATGGGCGGTGTGAGTTGCTTAGACACGCATGCCCACCGACTTACCGTGTACATTTTGGTACAGTAATATTTCCACCGTGTAGAGAGCCTTTTCTCAAGGATAAAGAAACACCACTATCAACTGGGAGCGTTCATATGGTACTGTACTCAGCTAGTAGCATCCAGTTTCACATGTAACTGCAAAGAGTGAATAAGTACGGTGAGTCAGGTGCTAAAGACTGCAATTTCCGACCTAGCCTCACTTTTCTCTTCACTCATCAATAGTTCTCGAGGTTTTTAGAGAAACCACCCTCCCACAGAAACAAATACGTCTGTCTCTCGGTCAACTTATGATCAACAGACAGGCTTATAACGGCAACGTTCTAACGCAAGCAGCTTATTCTGAATGGGGATCTTGTCCCTCGTGAAATGCAACTCGAGATTTAAAATAAGTTCTTTCAGGGCAGGCAGCTTAGTTCCAATTTGCTAGTAAGCCTATGAGAGATTCATATTGGAAGTACACGAAATTTTCAAGCTCAATTACTCCTAGCCTCACGCAACCGCATTGACAGTAGAGCAGAAGAGATGGAAAAGAAGCGATCGAGTAATATGCATCACCCTATGAGAGATGTAATAGAAAAATGGGATAAGAGACTTCGCGGAGAACGAGAGTAAGATGAAGAGAAAATGGGAGCAGATTCCTTAACAGGTATGTAGGAAACAATGGAGTCTGCGACTCGAATGAAATGATAGAGGCACTTGCATGAGTTGCACTCAAACGAGGTGAGGGAAGGACAAATTAGAGGAGGTCATGAAGCATGATGGATGATATTGATCCGCACTCTTCGAGAAAAATAGAAGAAAAAAGGTGACAGCTGATGCTAGTATTCAGGAGGCTGTCGATACTTCGAGTTCCTCTTTGATCTTTCATTTCCCTACAACTCGGATGCCTTGCTTCCAGAATTCATTTCATCCATTGATGCAGTACAAGGAATAGGAATTTGATCCCCAGCTTCGCATTCTCTTCAGGACAGCCTCACCTGCACCCCAGAAGCGTGGGGGTCCTGTCCAGCAAGCAATACGTATGAAACTATCCCAATAAAGCTCTCTTCATGCTTCCCAATATTTCAGCCGCATTGAGATATATGAATAGAAACAATAGGGATGAAATCCATTTAGGTATTCGAAAGCGAAATATGTACGAAACTTATGCCTCCCTTTCATCAGTATAATATAAAATCAATGTCGGGAGATTCCGGCTCGTGTGAGAAAAAAAAGGTAACCAGAAGCATTGACCCCCATACATACAAATTCACTCCACCCATCTCCTCGCTTACCTCTTCGCTTTAAGTATTTTTCTAGAACGTACTGTACAGGAACGCCCCCCGTCTAATCTAAATCTGCACTGCCGAAAAGCGGAGCTTGCAATGACCCATCGAGCGAGCCGAGTGAGCTAATTCTTAGTCAATCATTAGTTTAAAGATAACAGGAACGATAGAGACATCCACACATGTGATAGGTTGAAAGAGATGTCAAGGCTTTTTGTCATGCGGGACTTCATTGGATGGTTTCAACGACGATAAGGCTAATGAGTTCCAGGGGTTAAAACTAGATGTTTTCAGGTTAGGAAGCATAGCTTATCTGGAGTAAAAGATAAGAGGTTATTGATTATTTGTTGATAATTTTGAGAGGTCAAAGGGGAGATTTTGAGAGATTGGAGATTGGGGGACTGATTGATGTTTTAGGAGAGGAGAGAATAGAAAAGTACGTCATGATGGGAGAAGATGTAATTTCAGCTTGAAACTGGGCTATGTGTGATATACCTGGGCAGATCGATTGTTTGAAGCAGAATTGGTAAATCTTACGAGTTGTTGCATAGAGATCGAAGATAGGCGAAGATGAAGGGGTAAGTGAAGATACTCACACAGTGATATAACACTGTTGTATTGAGACCAAAAAATGCAGGGAAAAAGCCTTAAGAAGTACAGAGAAAATTTTGATGTCCATGAGCATGCCATTCTATGCAATACCAGAAGCCACAGACTACCAAGTAGCAGGATAGGCACATAGGGCACCTTTTTTGCAGGCGCCGCACGCGGGGGGCAGACAAGCATGTTGACGACAAACTGGGGAGAGGAAAGGATGTGAGAGTGTGGGTGAGGAGCGAAATCGGGGGAAGACTGTTCTGGATATTGAATTCTTTCGTATGATTGATCAGCTGAGATAGAATCCTTTGATCAAAAAGAAAAAGAAAGGAAAGAAGACAAGTCACTCTTGATACTCACGCGGGAATCAGACTTTTTAAATATGATATTGGGCTTTGATATCAATCTATCTCTCAAACATGGTGAACCAGTCAATGCAATTATCATCAGATCATATCGAATCAGATAATCAATCCTCCAAACTCAAACCAAAAATATGTCTCTGTCATTCGCGCCCTGTCTCGAGCGTGCTTACCTACTTTTCAGAGATATCCCTACGACCCGCATGAAAACATAGCTCCTTTACTAAAGTATTCAATTCTCGTGCATCAACATGGGCTATGCTCGTCAAGGATATGTACCCCATAATTGAAGGTTGGGAAGTCGTGGATCTGTAATTTCTGTAATTTCAGCAAATGGGTGATATCGGAAGGTAGAGGATTAATGTGGTCGAGAAAATTACTACCAATCTCCGTGAAGATGAGAAGATAATAATTTGTGAATAATTCACATGTGTTGGGCGACCCTGAAGTACTGGATTAGATGGAAATGGAAATAGAAGCAGAAATCGCAATAGCCTCATTTCTCTTTCTTGATGAAACATGTAAGCCTCAAGTATTGAGTAGACTTTCAGCCATAATCGTGGGATGTGTATCTTCGTATCATATGCTGCCTGACAATTGCGATTTCGGGCATGATATGATTCGACATGCTCAAAGATCTAATCAGAAACTATGCATTGACTGGCTTACATTTTGGTATTTGGGGAAATCAAGATACACATATAATTGACCAATAATATGTGATATCATATCTTCAGATGTCATTTGCGTCACAAACATCTACATGTCTCACGACCTTCATATCTCTTGGCCCATAGTTTGAAATTCGAATCTGGAGCCGTTAATTTTCCCGAGTACTTTTTAATTGTGCTTCAAGCCGCGCATGGGATAAATGAGTCCACCTCTCACACGAACATCCCACGTCGAATCCAGAGACATGGGTACGGAGCAAGAAACTAAACTGGGTAAACTCTCGGCCCGTCGATCTAAAAAGATCTGCCTAGTACAGTGTACTGTTGCTTGTAGACTCGTAGACCTCATCCGAACTCGCGTGAAGAATGAAAATGGTCTTCCCTGTGAGCTGATCAATGTTTGGATGTGATTGGCATATTTGAACGGATCGCTTGTTATGAAACTACTGTTCAGATATATTTTGCTAGACTGAATAACCGACAGATAGATCCTTTGGGTCAGAGTACGTAGCTCCCTTGGTCGCTACGTATGTTGTAAGCAATATTGAATGAATGGATGGATGGATGCTCGATCTTTGAGTAAAGTTGGTATAATTATCCGATCTCTTGGTACATATCCCTCCATATCCATAACATGGATGCATGGCTTGGTATTTGTGGTTTCTTGAAGATGCTTGTCCAAGGCGTTCCTCATCCGTAAGTGTATGTGTATGTGGGTATCATAACTATAAGGTTTTATAGCTGCCACTTGCCATGCGGACTAGAATTCCCATGTTCCGTATTTTTAAAAGCGGAAGAGCTCCACCATCTTAGTCGAAAAGTACTAAAGGAAAGAACAGTCCCGATTTCTAGCGATTTGTCTCTGATTCCATTATTCGAGATTAATTTCTTTAATCTTTTGGATTTGGGATTGTTTGATTGTTTTGCAACTTTGTCCGGTCTTTCTTGTTCACCATCTACCTAGCTAGTATCAAGGACATTCTTGATACTCAACTCTGCTATCAATCTACCTCTCAATTATCTCCGGATTAGGTAGTGAGACAACATCAATAGTTGTAAAACTACCCAAACCACCAATTCTTTCTCAGTTGTGACCAAAACAACTCCTTTATAATTCGAATATCAATCGTATTCTCCTACTCTTCCGAAATCGCCAACATCTATCCTGGTCCAACGAAAAACGAATTCTACGTCATTCTGAAGGCATTCCCTGTCCAACACCTAGACACAAAGGGAATCTCGAGGGAAGAAAAGGCCGACAGAAAGGGCAATTGAAGGAAATTTTGAAATTTAATAACGATGTCGAGTAACGAATATTATCCCAATTATGGCTATGTTGGAGCTCCTGCAAATTATAATGGTACCGGAGCCAATGGTGGCGATAGTGGTATGTTTCCATCTCTTCTTCGAATCTTCGAGTACCAAATTGTACCTCCGCAATTTACACATTCCGCATGCCTCTCTCATCTCAATCCGTTCAACAACCTCAATCCTCAACCCCTTCACAATGCAAAAACATGAACTAACATTCAATTCCCAAATTAGCCGTCGTCAATTTAAATCAATGGTTCGATCCGGGTGATCAAGCCTTTATCATCGTAGCATCATGTATGGTTCTACTAATGCCCCCCGGTCTGGGCTTTCTATACTCCGGTCTCGCACGTCGAAAGTCTGCGCTCTCGATGATATGGGCCTGTATGGGTGCTTTTTCCATAATAGTTTTCCAATGGTATTTCTGGGGTTACTCTCTGGCTTTTAGTTCGACGGCTACAAATGGGTATATTGGGAACTTGAAACATTTCGGTCTGATGAATACTCTGGGTACGCCAAGTCCAGGAAGTCCTTTGATTCCTGAGTTGTTGTATAGTTTTTATCAGGTATGTGATTTTTGGTCTAGGTTTTGCAGGAGAGGGAGGGCTAATGATTGGAATTCAGTTACAATTCTGCGCAACAACTGCCGCAATTGTCGTAGGAGCTGTCGCTGAACGAGGTCGTTTGGTTCCTATGATGGTATTCATATTCTTCTGGGCTACTATCGTGTACTGTCCAGTCGCATGCTGGGTATGGAATGTCAACGGTTGGGGATTCAAATATGGTGTTCTCGATTATGCGGGTGGTGGACCAGTCGAGATCGTTTCGGGTATGTCCGCGCTTGCATATTCAATGGTCTTGGGCAAGAGACAGGAAAAGATGATGTTGAATTTCAGACCACATAACGTCTCGTTGATTACCTTGGGTACGATTTTACTGTGGTTTGGATGGTTAGGATTCAACGGAGGAAGTGCTTTTGGAGCCAATTTGAGAGCTGTCATGGCCTGCTGGAACTCGTGTTTGGCAGCCATGTTTGGAAGTATTACCTGGTGTTTGTTGGATTGGAGACTAGCGAGAAAATGGTCAGTATTCTTTCAACCATTCTAAAAACCTTCATACTGATAAAAAATAGGTCCATGGTAGGTTGGTGTTCAGGCTGTATCTCTGGTCTTGTAGCCGCCACACCCACATCCGGATTCATTCCTCCTTGGGCCTCCGTCATCCTCGGCATTGTCACCGGTATCGTCTGCAATTACAGCACCAAAATTAAGTTCTGGATCCGCATTGACGACTCCATGGATGTGTTAGCTGAGCACGGCATGGCCGGTGTCGTCGGACTAATTTTCAACGCTTTGTTTGCTGCAGATTACATAATCGGTCTTGACGGTGTCAATACCGGAGTCATTACCGGCGGCTGGCTCAATCACAACTACAAACAACTCTACATTCAAGTCGCTTATATTGTCGCCTGTACCGCGTATTCCTTTGTCGTTTCCGCACTTCTCGCTATCATCATTAATTACATCCCCGGTCTCCATCTCCGCGCCTCAGAAGAAGCTGAACTCCTTGGTATGGACGACGACCAACTTGGCGAATTCGCATACGATTACGTTGAGGTAAGACGTGACTACCTTGCCTGGACACCCGCAAAAGATGAACCAGAAAACGTGGAAAGTAATGTAAACCCCGAGGATCGTCACGGTATTCCAGAACACTCGGACATGATAACCGGACATTCAGATATGATTACGGGACATTCACCGGGGAGCGGAAGAAACAGTGGAAGTGAAGCGGATGCAAGGGCGGGACATTCTCATAATATGATTATGGGTGACAGACACGGAATTGCGGCAACAGATAAAGAGAAGGCTGCTTTGGCGAGAGAGGCACAAAACAACTGAGTAGGGCTTTGGACACAAAATAAATAATATTGGGAGGGGGTTTTTTGGGATTCTTTGGATACGACACGATTGCTATATTGCGAGGAGTTGAGTGCGGGAAACTTGGTTATGAGATATCTATTTTCTTTTTCATGCATGTTTATGTTTTGGGATGATGAGTGGACCGGGGCAAGGAAAATATGTACTCCATATGGTTTGGTGGGTGGGATTATTTGATTCCAAAAATATTCGCGTGGATAGTGTTGAAACTTGAAAGAAGATTTATTGTATATAGAATGGATGTAAGAGGGATGTAAGTAACTATTGATGAGGTGGAAATGAGATGAATATATTATCAGTCTACATACTTGGTGTAAAAAAATCGATCCTATCTGTAATGAATGTGAACTAAAGACGAGGATGTTGTGAAATCCGTATCCATACTAAATAGACCTGTTCTAGAACCGGAACTACATAAATCGCCAGGCGTGTAAGTGGATTTAAAGATCTATTGAATGGGCTGCCGCTATTTACCATCTATCTATTCTATAATGTTGCTTACTTAGATACTAGTCTCGCTGGATCTTATACTACCCACTGGAACTTGTCTTATGAAATCCTGGGAAATTCGAAATCTGGAAATAGCAGCGACGTCAACAACTTGAATGGTTGACGTCAGTTTTAACATGTTTCCCCATCATGACATCACAATCACAATCGAATCACATCCATCACACCCGTGCTGGTCTGCATATGATGCAAGTGATCGCGCGCATCGTACCCAGCAGGAGTAAATCTCCGGTGGGAATTTGGGGTGCATGTATGTATGTATGGATGTATGTGCATGGGACGGAGATTGAGGGATGCATGGAAGGAGGGAGGGAGGGAAGACAGGGAAGACAGGGAAGGGAAGGATGTAAACAGGGATGTGGGATATGGGGTGTGGAGATAAGGATTTGGGAAGGAGAGTAAGGATGGAGAGGAGAGAGATAAGGGTTGCTGAGGGTGGTGATGCTGTGTGGTGTGGTGTGGTATAGAGTGTACGCATGCATGCATGCTTATCAGTGAGAGGGATGCAAGGGCGGGTTGGGCCGGATGGATGGTGTGCGCACGGACTCGGGGATTTGTTGCTTGGGAATTGGGGATTGGGAATTGGGAAGTGGTGATGGGTGCGATAAGGAGATCGTGGGGAGATTGAGATGTGTAGGTAGTATGGATGGAAGTTGAGAGGGGTGTTGATCCGAGACGGTTACTATGTGGAAGATTGATGGATGAGTTTTGGTGCTTGGGGATGTTGGCGGGGGCTGTGAATGCTTGGGCACTGCTTGGGGAGAGCTTGTGGATTCTTGGCTTGATAAGAAGATTTTTGGAGTTTCTGAACTGCAGTTGATTTGAATTGGAAGACTCTATGACAGTTTTGATGATTATATATGTGGCTGTGTTATCGGTAAGTGGTGGAAGTGTGGAAATAGGTTGGAGGTTGAAGGTTGAGGTTGGAGGTCAAGGTGATCTCGCTAAGCGCACCAAAATACTACATACCACGGGCGAGTGTAGAATGATATTGAAACCGGTATATCAATTGAGATAAAGTTTCAAATGTATTTAAACTCTAACGAAGCTCATGTATTGCTTTTTCGGTGGTATTGACATAGGGAAACTCAAATAACGTTAATTTTGGTGTCTTTTGGGCGAGATATCGGCATGTTAATGGTCTGGCATTTGTATTATTTCATAAACACTTGTTATTTCAGATCGATATGATTGGCGAGGGGATCAAATAATCGATGTGTACATGTCGAAAGTCATGGTTCATTTGACTTGTGGTAAGAATGCGAAAGAATTGCGGTGTATATACATTGATACTCGCGGACACGCGAAGAAGAAGAATGTGGCACGAAGATTCAGCTATGTACATTCCAAGGGGATATAAATCCATATTTCAAAAAAATGTTTCATATACCTGAGATAGTGTGCATTGCAATATTCTTGCGTGCATGAGGAACTTCCTCGATATATTTCGCAAACGAGCACTTAAATAGACAATAAGAAAGAGACGTTGAGAATTGGACGGAATATTGAACAAAACCTTCAAGAATTTGGACATTGAAATGTTTAAGACACAACGCTAGTTTGATCTCCAAGTATGCTTCATCCAGTATTGAGTATTTGTAGAGGCGAAGCCTCTGTTTGTCGCATCATGCATTGTCTAATGTATACCTTACATCTAGTCATAGAAGTCCAGTGATTTGATCTCAAATTCGGACTGGTACACTCTGCAACTTCCCGGCAAGCTCCTTAGGTAGCCACTGATATTGATGACGAGACGGACCGATGTACGCAAATAGCGGTGATAGTCTTGATATCGTAGGGAGGCTTAAGTGATCTTGGCAGAACACTTGATACTGGCCGAGTAGAACTCATAATGTGCCTACAATATGCCATCACTGAATGGAGAATTGTTACTGTATCATCTTCAGAAGTGACGATTCTTATGATATTCACTTTAGTACAATGATTGTTGGTGGAAACTCCCTTGTGACATTGTACATCCATAGTTGAAACCTTTCCTTCGGTGCTGTTAAGTAAGCATGATAAGTTACGAAACCGCCACATCGTGATATCCGTTTGTTCTTTTTGCATCGAGGAAGTACATTGGACGCAAGTACCCGCTACCCATCAAGCTGGCATTGCGACATCCCGACTGCTGTAAAGTCCAAGTCGATGCAAACGGAATCTGAGTCGCTGATAGGCTTCTATCGAATGTTTCCAACATGACTGTTTACAACACTGCCGTAAAAGAAGCAAAAAGGTATCTGCAAAAGTCGCTGCCCGACGGCACCCTTTAACCAATAATTTGATGGCACGAGTGACAAAAAATTGAATTCCAGCCAAGATTAAGCTCTTTGCGGGGTGTTCACATGATGACGCTAAATGACGCGATAATACGCGTTTGTTATCGCGATGTCGCAAAACATCAACATATTGCCTTTCTACTGTTGCACCTAGCAATTTTATGATCTTCATCGACTTTCGAAAGCGAAATTGACATCAGATACCAATGGAGCTACCAAAACTCAGTACTATATTCACTCCTCATGACTCGACATAATCTTCAAAGTCATATTTCTTGGTTGATTAAAAACAAAGTTACTACCCCCGCCAGAGTTCAAATTCCTGCATTTGCAGATACCATTGAACCAGACTCGCGAATTTGGAGATTTTCGAAGGGGAAGATATCGCACAAGAAATAGAAATACACCGATTGCTCCGATTCGAAATCGCCGAGTCGAAGAAATCTCCAATGTTGTGGCGAATTCACACCCACCTCGTCCTCGTATACTTACTCCGATAATACAATCTACACCAGTGCCTGGGGATGAATTGGCAGATCCGGAAATGGGAAAACTCACATCAGCGCGAAAGACGACTAGGCCAAGTCTCATGAGTCAAAATCAACAACTCGGAACCCCTTCCTCCACGGCCAGTTCCTCCCTTGCAAGAAGCTATAAGCTACAATGTAATCAAAATGGTATGTAAATGAAAGCGATTCAATTTGGTTCATAGACTGATTTTACTAGGCACGCCTTCCAAACCCATATCTACAAGAGAACCGAGAGGTCTGACTCCTCGCCCAACTCCTCGCCCGGCTCCGTTGCCAAAAAGCAGAGTCAATTTCGACAATGTGGAATCAATAGATCTTACCGGGGATGATATGATTGGAGCTCCTATCGTAAACTCTTCTAGCACAGTGGAAGCCTTTGAAGATGCTTTCCGTTACTTTGTGGGATGAGAGGTCAGCATCCAGACCGGAACCTTTGAAGAGGGCGGAAGAAACGGAAAGAGTGAGGAATTATCTATGTTACAGTCTCCTCGAAAGGCTAAGAAAGTACCACCAGTACACGCAACAGAATTGCAAGACAAGCAACACGATTCATTTATGGACATCGACGAACTGGAAATGCCAGGGCCGTCGTTTCGAGATAGCCTTCCCGACTCTCAACAACAATTGTTCCCACGCAGAACAGTAGAGGAATACCCTGATCTGGATTTATTGGAAGAGGTTGATATGGTTGGAGAAATGATTTCTCAGGGCGAACGTGCGAAATCTAAGATTCGAAGCCGACAAAATTCGGAGGATACTGTTATGGATAGAAGACCAACGCGGGGAACGACCCCTGTTCCCACGATCAGCTCCCAGAAAACGTGTTACACCTCTTAATGTGCGACATATCTCGCCGGTTCAAGTACAAGCGTCTCCTGCTTTTAAAAGTCGTGAAAAGCGAGCAACAAGGACCCCGTCACCCCTCACACATCGTAGGCTTAAGAAAGAAATTTTTGACTCCGACGACGACGACGACATGCCGTCAGAGGTAGAGGCGAGAGTGAGCTGCTCGCCTTGCCCACCATCGATAAAAACATCGAAAGGAATCCGTAGCACGGCAGAAAATCATACAACGCCCAAAATTCAAATGCACGAGAACAGTGAAGTAACTCCCGCCAAGAAGAGATTTACTAGCCCACTACAGCCGATATCACAAAATGCATCATTCCGCCAAGAGAACGAGCCATCTCCTTTCCAACAGGATTCTCCTACAAAGTATATGGCTTCACAGACTTTACCCCAACGAGGTTCGAGTCAGGCCTCAACGGTTTCTTTAGGCTTCGAAGAAAAGAGAATTGTGGGCTTGTATCTGAAGGATCCAACGGCACTTACACCTTTTCAGAAACATCTGGACAATCTCCTCAATCAGAATTTTGAGGCACTTCAAGTCTATCTTGAGGATGGTGAGCACCCTCCGGCAGACATAGTAGCCGAGCGAAAATCTATGCTGGACCAGAAAAAGGCCTTTGAAGCTCTTGCGGAGACTTTGCAAGGACTCCAGGATCTCGCTTCAAAAACAACTGATGCCTTAAAAAGTTTATATTTTAAAGGTGAAAATAATGGAGAGTCTGAGGTGCTGACTAGTGAACTGTTGGAGAAAAAGAAAGAATGCTGGCGTTTATTAGATGCTTCTGGCGCAATAAACTATGGTTTTGGATCTATCCCGTCTACAAGGACTCCGCTTTCCACCCATGCTTCAAGTGCGGGTGCGAGTGGACAAGTCGTTCTACAGACCCAGATTCCGTCTCTTTCACATCAATCATCTGGTGCAACGAGATGTTCCACGCAAGAGCGCACACCATCTAACTATCAGAATCCTGGTAAGTCAAGGGAACAAGAGCCTCGTTATGCTCCACCATCTTCAATGAGACATACGTCGCCTGCCAGATCAATGATTCCTGCCAGTAATTACTCGAGGCCTGACAATTCTGTGAAAAGGCCGGACTTTCACAGAGAGCCTTCGCCG